CTAAGCTGAGACTATCCGTTAGGGCAAGGAAACTAGGATTGGCAGGTAGACAAAAGGAGATCAGTTGGCAGGAAAGACAGGTCTAATGAGCAGAAAGGAAGAGGAAAGTGAGATTAGATGAGGGGGACAGAAGCAGGGGAAGGTGGTGGCAGTGGACACAGAATATAGGTAGAAGATGGCTAAAAAAATGGTGGGGGGCTGGAGTGAGGCAAACTGGATGAGAAATTGGAGGTAAATTAGCAATAATGGGGCAAGGTTACCATGAATGGAGGAGGAAACAAGGACTTGAAGGGCAAAGTGACTGCAGTTGGGATGATGAACATGTGGAAAGGATTTGGGGATTTGGATGACAAACTAGGAATAGGGAAGAGTAATGATCTTGACAAGGAAAAGTTAGAAAAAACAGGTTAAAAGGAGTCAAACCTAGGAAGAATAAACCTGAATGAAATATTTATGGCCACTGGAGTACAAGTCCTAGAAGCCAGAATGGATCTCAAGATCTAGAGGAGAGGTTCCCAAACTTTTTGTTATTGCATACTTCCTCTAGATTTACCAGCTGCCTGCAAACCACTACCAGTTCACATTTTATATTTTAACCCCTTAAATGCCAATTATAACACAAATTAAATTAGTTTTTACACAATTTCTCCTGTGTACCCCCCCCCTCCCCCCAGAGATGTTCCATTGTATACCCCCAACAGTATGCATTCGACAGTTTGGGAACCCCTGCTTTAGACTCACCATTCTTCTACTGTCAGTTTCTGAATCCCACTGGCAGTGTTCTAACCCAGTCCCATATGGTCCTACTACTTGTATCAGTTACTTGCTAGATCAAGTGGCAGAAGCCTGCATGGTAGATTTAAACTTTAAAGGGCCTTTCTTGTTGATGACTGGTGTGGGAAATTAGTATGATGCCAGAACTAAACTACCATTTTGCTCATTTTTTGTTGAAAACCAGGAAATCACATGAACCAAAGCTACATAAGAAGAGCATTATTAAGGTTGCAAATTCTAGCACTCCAAAGCTTGCAAATGGCAGAATTAGTATTGCTTGTGCACCCTTACTTGTCTTCTCTTGTACCTATGTATCACGATGCAGTCCTTAATTGCATTATCACATGCTATTTTTTTTCATGTTCCAGTCCCATTGAGTGTATAGTTGACACCTACTCCGCAGATGAATCAGGGTTGAATAGTGAAGAAACTACTTTGTATGTTGCAGAAGTCTGAAGGTGTGAATGAAGCAGGAATACAAGCAGAAAAAGGATGGTGTCATGTTTAACACAGTTCCTATGTGACAATAGTCAAGTTGCTTAAGACAAACTTTTCAGTTAACTAGAGACCTTGTGGTTTGATTTGCTGAGTGCTCTCCCCTGCAACTGAAGTGAATAGATGTGCTTTGAACATTTTAAATGCTACATCCTGTTTGGTTTTCTGAAAGAAAAAAACAAACAAAATCAAAAATGGGTCTCAAGCATCTAAAAACTTAATACCCAAAATTAGTAGATACTTTTGTGCCTCAATTTACCATCTGTAAAATGGGGATAATAATGCCTCTTCATCTTACAGGCCTGCTATGAAAAGAATTCAGATTTTGTTACAGGGAACGTACCTTGAATGCCTTTATGCTCCACTAGAGAAATACAAACTCTAAAACTCTTGGTTCAGATGTGATACCTTTTTATCAGGCCAACTAAAAATAGCAACAAAAATTCTTTCTGTCCAAGTTTTGTAGCACTCACACCATTCTTCAGGCTGAGGAAAAATCAAAGATTGTAAAAGTCCTCTTAGGTAGAAAATAAACTTCATTTTGCGCAGGGGAAGTTGATGCTGAATGTATATTCCTCTGTGTCTGTCAGAGTCCTTTTGTGTGAGTTGCTTTTTGATGTGCAAATAAGGCTGTCCTCTTCCTTGGAGGTATTAGATGTCAGAAGCAGGCAGGGAGGCAGAGAAATCTTTCTTTGTTGTTTAGCCATGAAGTTAATTTTTCCAAAAATGGCTACATACAGTATATGCTCCACTGACATTCAGAATTATGCTAGTTTGAACTCCTAGTTGAGCTACTAGAGACAGACAGCTCAAAGGGTAGGGATCATAGGAAAAGCAGTCTGTTTGAAACCATATAAAATGCAGGCCTATTTAACCCCAGAAAATATGTCGACAATCTTTCCTCATAACAAAGTTAATTTGTAGAAATGTAACAAGGTAGCCACTCTGGGCATATCCTTGCTCATATCCTAAGCAACATCTACCAAGTGTAGGATACAGAGATTCAGGATATGCTTTAGTGTCCAGTACAAGAAAGTGCACAAAAGGAAATGCATGATTCTGTTCTCATAGCCTGGTGTAAAGAATGCCCAGTAAATAACGCCAGAGGCCACGCATTGAAATATGAAGATAAAATCAATCTATGGACTAGATTGATTAGTCTAGATCTATTGACTAGAGATCTGTGCCCACTTAGTGAACATCATTCATTTTTTAACTGAATGAGGCAGGTGATATGTGGAAGAAATGTATATGATCATGTAATTAAGAATTGCATCATTATTTCTACACATAAGGGGCTGAATTAAGATATTCTAGGATTAATTTTGCAACCTTAATAATGCTATTTTCATCTAACTATGCTGTCAAAAGTGTTGATATTACTGTTTAACAGTTTTCTGATATACCTGTCCTGACGTAGCATGCTAGCTGAGAGGGTATGACGCAGTATTTTCAAAATCCTGGCTATATGCCACTTTGTTTTTTATGCAATACATAGATTGACTGGGGGAGGAAACATTTGGCATAAATCGATGAATGAGAAGACAAAGAACAGTGTGTTTCGTTTTGGTACATAATATGTTTGTCATTCTTATACAGAGCTAGTACAAGCATTCAGAATGATCTGCAGTATAATTTCAGTATGCAAAGCCTGAATGACATAAGGCACATTAGAATGAATAAGGTTTGTTAATTCTTTGCTCCTGTGCCAAGAAATCTCTTTGATTCTGCCAAGCTTGCAACAAAAGACATCTGAATGTCATATGTCGAGGACAAATGAACTATAGCAATAGCATTTGCTGCTTTTACACGTGGTATTTGTTAATTTCTCCATTCCCTGTACAGTTATTTCATATTTTCATATTTAAGAATTTTATGTGATTTTTATTTTTTAAAGCTCTGAAATAATCCTAATACAACAAGTTATCTCAGAAGTTTTGTACTTAAAATATTTAAATAACAAGCACAGCAGGATTATACTGCATGGATGTGAGATATTGAGCAGATATCTTTTAGTTTTTTGTTCCCTATTTTTAAAAAGTCACTGCTATACTTTTACTATTTTTTAAAGGCCAAGGTATGCAGAATCATCTCATATCACAGGAAATCCATAGGTTACAAATCCATAACACCTGCAATATAGAAGAAAAACATCTCATTGGAGAAATACAGGTGGTTCAGAGAGTACATCCATTTTATAATTTCTTACTAGGCTGGCTCCTAGCCTAAATTTACCTGGAAAAGTGTGGTTTTTCTAGCAGGTGTTGCCTGATGTGACCAATATCAAACAAATCTTAGTGGAGATAAGGTAGTTTGTTGCTTTAATGTGTTAGAAGCTTGTAATAATCTGAGGCTCTCTTTACTTCCACTTGCTAATGTGTAAGAACTACAAGAACACATCTTCTTTGAGCTGTAAAAAAACAGAAAAGGGGGCTAGAGGTACACACACACACACAGCTGGATACTGCACTTTCAGTGAGGGGCCACTTCCCTCTAATGGGGTATGATGGTAGCAAAACTAGAATGTCTTGCTGTGGCATGGTAGCAGTGTTGGTCTAAGGACATAGGTAGACAAGGTTCTTTGGGTGAATGTGATATCTTTTATTCGACCAACTAAATTGGAAAAAATGGTACAAACACCCTTCCTGAAAGCTTGCGAAAAACCATTTTTCCAACAATTTTGTTGGTCTCATAAAAGATACATTTACCCAAAGAACCTTGTCTTGCTGTGTCTTCAAAGATGATGGTGCTAGATGCCACCCCTAGCTGACTGAGCTGTAAACAGGTACCTGATTATCCAGGCTGGAGTGTCAAAAGTGATGCTAATCACACCATTCCCTTTTTCGGTTGTTGGCTAAAGAATCTGGCAGGTTTTACCTATACTGACTGAAGGGATTGCTAGACTCCTGTGGACCTTTGACCTCTACCAACCCATCTCTTAGCACAGTACAGGACCACATACATGGGCAGGCAGCACAGACCAGCTCTCATGCAGCAAGTTCTGCCACTTAAGGTTGCCTCATGATAACTCTTCCATGGGCCCAAGCCTCAGGTTAATGGAGTGTAGTTACCCCGCATTTAATGTTTGTTGTGCAGAAGGATTAAGCTGCACCCCTTCACATGGTAGATCTGGCCATTTTGATTGCTATACAGCAAACCCATCGCTGCCTCACAGACAAGGGTGCAGGTTTTTCAGAGTGGGGCAAGCTCCCTCTTTGTAGGCCTGGACAGACACCCTAGTGTAGTGCTAGTGGGGCAACCACCTCGCCTCCTCGCCCCTACACACCAGGGCCGGGCACTGAAATAGCGTCGGGAAGGTAAAGCCACACCCAACGCGTCCCCCAGGACTAGGCTTGACACCAACCCCCGACAGTGCGTCCGCCCGCGGGCTTCCCCACCACGCTGGCGTAGGTGTGGGCAGGCAAATGGGCAGGAGCAAGCAGGGACGTGACGAGGCCACAGGGCGGAGCGCAGCCCCACCGCCCAGGCTATGACCAGAACTTGGTAAGGGGCCACCCTGCAAGCGCTGACCCTCCCTCTCTTTAACAGGAGCAGGAAACCGATCGACGGGAGCTATGTCCAGTCAAGTTGGAGAAGCCCCCTGGGACAGCCAATGGGCGTGCGGAGCGGTGACGCGCGAAGTGACGGGGGGCTGCCCCGATCTGTGCGGGCGATCCGCCCGCCCCTGGGCTCCTTCTCGTCCTCGCGCGGCCCTACCCCACCTCCCTCGGGCCCCGCCCCCCCCCGCCCGCTGCAGCGCCGTGCATGTGCGGCAACAACATGTCGGCGCCGTTGCCTGCCGTCGTCCCCGCTGCGCGGAAGGCCACTGCCGCAGTGAGTGGCTGGGGCCAGTGGCCGCGGGACCCCTCGGCTGGCGGGCGGGGCGGGGCTGGGTTCCCCCTCGCCTCCCAACCGCCCCTCAGCCGTTCCGGGTGGGGCGGGGCGTGCAGGAGCCCTCGGTCCACCTTGTTCCCCGGCTCGGGGCCGCCTCGGCCACCCGCCCTTCCTTCCCGGCTTCTTCACGACCCTTTCATATATTCTTGCGACCCACTTTTGGGTCACGGCCCATGGGTTGAGACACGCTGCCCTAGATGAAGCGTGGAGACCTGGAACGGATCCGCAGCCCACCACTTGTGGAGGTCTCTGGGCTCGGTTACTTTTGTGGCGAGGAAAACGGGAGTGAGAAGGAAGAACCTTTTTATATGGTTTCAAACAAAACTGCTTTTCATACGATCCCTGCCCTGTGAGCTGCCTGCCCCTAGGGCGTGCACGCGTTCACAAGACTCAGCCCAGCGCGTCGGAGCAGGAACCGGTAGTGCCCAAACCGTTCTGTCCGGTCGGGTCTTCCGAGCCCTTTGCACCCGTGCGTGGCTCTGCGATTTTTCTGCTCTCTGGAGGGAAAATGACGAGCTGGTATTTTCCAAAGGGCACCAAAGTCAGAAAAGGTTGAGAACCATGGGTCCAGTCTCGGTAGCTGAGTGGTTCAGGGCCTGTCCGTGGGCCAGATCCAGTGTGAGGGTTGAGCACTGCATCAGTTCGCAGTTGGGGTCCAGTGAAAGGCCATGTGCTAGATTAGGCTGTGGCATGACTGTGTGCAGGTGCACTGGGGTTTACTAGGCCATGTAGTCCAGCTGGCTGGACTCCCTGCAGAGCTGAATATTTGGTGGCAGGAGAGTGGTACAGCATTAATTGCCCCAGCTCTGGGAGCAATTAACAGTGTTAACACTGCTATTGCTCCCCTGCCACCAAGGGCAACATGGCTGTGTCTCGATCCAGCCCACAGGCCAGGGGTTTAACACCCCTGGCATAGACTCAGCAGCCTGTGGCTTTCTAATGTGTCATAACAATTTATTTTCCTTAGTGTCTTTTTAACGGATATTGGACAACTCCTAAGTTCTGCGTCTTTTTAAATTTTAGGTCATATTTCTTCATGGATTGGGCGATACTGGGTAGGTATAACAGTTTATTGAAGTGTATCTGAGATTTCTTTAACAACATTCAGGATATATATTGTAAAATATGAGTGATCACAATTTTTGTTGTTGTTTCTTTACAGCCACTGGTTGCTGGCTGTTACCTGACTGCTCTGCTGGGGGGTGGAGCTCTTCTCTTTGTGGTGGTGGTTGATGCTTCTGACAACAGCTGTGAGGCAATGCAGTGAACTGTAGCATGGCCAACAGCTGCTGGGGCTTCCCACCCCGCTTGGCCACAGCCCCAGTGCATAACCTGGGATTGTGGAATGTATATGGGCGTGGGCTGTGGGAACTGGAAGCCATGGCAGGCTAGGAGCTTGTTGGCAGTGCTTGTCCAGGACACTAAGAGATACCCGGAGAGCTGTTTGCAAGGGTCAGTGCAGCTGTGACGTAGTCCTCAGAGCCCCTCACCTCTTCTAACATTGTGTCTGTCATACGTGAGGTGGTATCCACCTTCTTCCTGGTGTGCTTTTAACTGGTTTTGTCATGGGTTGGGGGATGTCTGTATGCTCTTATTTTGTCACAGGACAAAAACATTTGTTTTGTAACAGATGCAGCATCTGTTCATACTCCTAGAGTTTTACTGGCACTTTTCTGGAGAGTTTTTTGTTTTAATGAATTCAGACTGTTGAGACCAGCTTAGTATGTATTTGTCCCCTGATGAAAAGAAATAATAAGTAAAACTGCTTCAAAGAGCTCAATACATAAGTTTCTAGCTCAGCTTGGTAGTTGAGTTTGGATTAAGCCTTACTTAATTAGTTCTTCCTAGACGGAATGTTTTGGCTTGTTACAAGTAGTAATTTCCAAAATAATAGGCCCTATATTGATATAATCTAAGGAGAAAGCTGTAACTATAATTTAAGTAAATACATTTAGTATAGAGTTTGCTCAAATGGAACGAACAGAGGATACTTGATTCTGTGCTATAACCATGTACCAAATACTCAGTTCCTCAAAGTAGTTTGTGAGTAGCTCAAATAGTCCACGTGTCAGATGAGTAAGACTTTCTGTGATAATGTATTGGTGCCAGACCTAAATTCCTCATTTATATAAATAGTCTTGGTGAAGTCAGAACAGTTAGTATGTTATTATCAGGGATCCGGGTTTTCTGTTTCCCATGGAAAAATGGAGTAATCCGCCGATTTTTCCTTTTACTGGAGGCAAACGTGGGTTTCTTGTTTTACGAGAGAAACCCGTGGATTTTGCAATGAGCTCCTTGCAGGTTGGCAGAGTTCCCCCACCCCTGCTGGTGCCCCTCACTCCCCACCTACAGGCCCCCACTTCTTCTGGTGCCCTTTACTCTCCACCCACAACACCCCCCAGCCCTCTCCTTACCCCCTGTCCAGCTGGCTGGACTCCCTGCAGAGCTGAATATTTGGTGGCAGGAGAGTGGCACAGCATTAATTGCCCCAGCTCTGGGAGCAATTAACAGTGTTAACATTGATATTGCTCCCCAGCCACCACAGCCCCTCCCTACCCACAGGGAAGAGTGGGGTGGGAAAGCTCGGTGCTGCCACTGGGAGCCTTGTGCCGCTATGTCTAGGTGCCCCAGCCCTGCCCAACAGCAGTGGGGGAAACAACTTCAGTGCTGTTGTGCTTCTGCTGCTGCTGGGCAAGCAGGGGGCACCTTGCCATGGTGGTGCAGGGCTTCCAGAGGTGGCACTGAGCCTTCTCACCCTGCCCTGCTGTGCCAGCCCTGCCCGCTGGGCTGCAGAGGGGAGGGCAGCAAGGCAGAGAGCCCCAAGCGGGTAGCACACACCCACCCCTACCCTGTGCACCAATCTGGGGAGCATGTGGCCCCCATGGAAGTGCACGCAGTGGCAGGGAGCCAGCTCCCTTGATGCCCCCTGGATGAGCCACTCACGGCTCTATCCCGCTCCCTGCCTGGGCCCTGCGGCTGTGCATTCTGGGCCTGGCCCCCACGCACCACCTCAGCTGGGCAATAGCCCCAGTCCTGTCCAACTCCCTCTCTTCTTCACTATGGATGCCTCAATTCCCCCTGCCCCCGACTTATTGTGGGAGCTGCTCTCCAGGCTGCCTGATTGCCCTCCTCCTGCTTCCCCCAGCCCATTGCAGGCTAGAACTCTGCCAGCCTGCAAGAGAAAATGGGCCATTCCCTATATTTTTCTCCTTTATAGGTGAAAATCTGCACTTTTCTCCTTAAAATGAGAAAATCCACATTTTTCCATAGCAAATGGAAAACACAGATCCCTGATGATCACCAACTGTACATCTGTAGGTGTATAAAAACAATGGTAGGAACTGATTACAGTTGCTGCTTCTAGATTTATTACATCCAAAAAGCAAATTTATTTTCATTCCTTTTGATTTAGCGTACTTCAATTTTGTAAAATGGTTCTAGAGAATAGAATATACATTTTAAAATTTTTTTTAAATTTAAAAATATAATTGATGTACATTTGGGTTAGATGGGCAGGAATTTATTGCTGACAGATCACAGATGCTTTATATAGGTATATACAAATGTGTATCCATATATATTCTGGTAAATAGAAGAGAAGGGAACTAGTTTTCTTTTTAGATGTGTTTAGTATTGTACGGAACAGAAAGAGTTATGTTCAAATGCAGTGCTTCTCAACCCTTTTAGAGTCACGGCACTCCTACCAAGCTCTTTTTGATCATGGTAGCTTCCCTGGGTATGAACCACTGTTGGTGCTGCCTCAGCTTACCTCAGTGCTTCTCAACCAGATGCTACTGTCTCCAGATAAAATTACCCCACACCTGCTACACATCTAATCCGGGAAGGCCTTTGGTACGGGAACATCCTTCTCCTGCAGCCTCAAGCAGGCAGGAGTTAGCTCAGGTTGTGGGCCTTCTCTCTCACCACTTCCCTTGCCCTCTTCCCCCCTCCCAGAAACAGAGGCATGTGTGTGGAACTGGCCCATGGGCCTCCCAAGGAAGGGAAGGGCAGGGCTGCAACCTAAGCCAGCTCCTCTTGCCTGCTTTTTGCTGATCAGAGAGCCCTAAGGTAGTAGGGGTTGTGCACAAGGCAGTTTTACCTGGCTGCTGCCACAGCAGTCCTGAGGGGGTTTTGCAGCACCCTCATCAAGAACTACTGTTTGTTACATTTTGCCCTAGGGGTGGTTTTTAGAAGTGTTTGTAATCTTGTTTTTAGAAGTGTTTGAACCTTTTCATCTTGTGTAGCATTGTTACTGCAGCAGTACTTAGATATTAAACTTAATAGAGCTGAAGAAGCAGATGCCATTTAACATACTTTTCTCCAACAGACATGGCTGGGCAGAAGCATTTGCAGGCATCAGAAGTCCACACGTAAAATATATTTGCCCACATGCGTAAGTTCATAATTTGCCTTTTTCATTTTTTCTTCCTCTAATGTAGATTAAATTTTGTAGGGAGACTGTCAGAAGGAAAGGCAGTGGTACTTGGGGGCACTTAGTGTTTTTGTGAACCAGGTTCTTAAAATTTTTAACTTACTATCTACTGGAAGCAAAGAGTACAGATAATACATAGTTTCATAGTTGGTAGGGTCAGAAGGGACCTGAGCAGATCATCAAATCCGACCCCCTGCCATGGACAGGAAAGAATGCTGGGGTCATGCTTATTTAAAAAATAAACTTTTAAAGGTTTTTTATACGAGTTACTTAAGAACACACTACACTATTTATATTTTGTTCTGTTCTCAAGCAGAACAAATTTTGAAAAATTATCTGTAATTGCTTAAACTCACCAACTAATTTGACTGTTGTATCTTTGGTTTTACTGCCATTATTTGCGAACAGCTAAACTTAAAAACAAACACTGTATTCATTTTAGACTTGTTTGTACACTTTCTGATTCATTCTCTTCTATTTCTGATAAAAAACAAAATTAGTCTTCCCAAATGTTTATTGTCAATTTTAAAAAATGTGAAATAGCTGAATCCAGTTGTACTTTAAAAATGGGATGTGAGACATCTAATTTTACAACTTAGCATAACCACTTTTTTATTGAAAAATGCTATCTACATTTGTTCCTGTCAAACTTAATTATACCAGTACTGTTTTTCTCAATCTCTAGGCCAGTTACTCCCGTTTCTCTAAACATGAATATGGCTATGCCATCTTGGTAAGTACTTGTGAATTAGAAATAATTGTTTATAAAGTTTTAAATGTTTATGTTTATTGGGCTTAACTTTCAAGATGGTTGAACTTGAATTACTAGCTGAAATCAACTGCAAATGTGGAAGACTTTTAGGTTTAGTGTTGTTCCAGTTAAGGGTTTCTGTTAATGGCATCTGCTTTTTAGGTTTTTTTGATATTAGCTAAGATGGCATGCCAGCTAGGTAGAAGAAAAAGATGCATTTTAACACTGAAAGCAATTACCTTTATAATACATGTCATAGTTTTGAGTCTATGAGAGCCTTTTTTATTGTTGGTAAAAATGAAGAATAATAGAAATGTTGAGGAATTTGTTTTTTACTAGTATAAACAGATTTTTTTTTTTGTATACCATTAAGATGGATATTTATGAGAGAGTCTTAGACTTCTTTTAGGATGGATGTTCTCAGGTTGTTTTTTCTTGTTTTCGAGCATAGATGCATTAACTAGTCCTCCTTCTTTCCTTTCTCCCATGCCTTCTTCCCCTCAGCATTTTGTAGAGTACCTGAAAAAGTATTTCATTTCAAAGCATAATGCCTGTTATTTGTTGGTGCAGAATATAGTCCCAAATCTTCTAATTTAACGTTCAGTCTTTTAAGTATTTGAACTGAGTTAGCTTACCATCATAAATTTAGAAGAGAATCTTTTAAAGTATAGAGTTGTCTGAAAAGTCTAGTTTTGTTAATCCACATTTACAGTCACATTTATGTTGCTGACTGTCAGTGTAAACTATGTTTTTTCTTAGCTACTGTTAACGTGGTGCCAACTGAAGTGAGCCCACATTGCTGATTAAGGAATTGTCCTCTGCCAAGAGATAAGTTATTTGAGATTGCAGAATATTAAAGTGATAAAACACTTAAATCTTAACTTCTTATTCTTGGTGTGATTATGCCAACATATAGAGATCTTAGTTTCCTAATGAGTAATCTCTATTTTGCCTTAAGGTTTGATATTTTTGGACTCTCTCCAGATGCACCAGAAGATGAACCTGGTATCAAGCAGGCAACAGAGAATGGTATATTTGGGGAGATGTTGAATGTATTTTCTTCTTAAGATTTTAAAAGAGAAGGGTTATGAGTGCTACACATCTGAAATAGTTCCTTCATTCCCAGCAATATCTGTAATCTTGGTCTTTTACTTGGATAAGCAGCACTGATCATTTACACAGTTACAACTCTAAATGTATCCAACTAATTGGGTAATTTAATAAATTTAACTGCACAGACAAATTGCCAGAAAATTTCACTGAAAAGGCTTTTTGTATTTGTGCATGTGATGTGTATGTCTGAAAGCCACTGAGTTTTAAGAATTTTGTAGATCAGGGCTGTCCAACTTACTTGGCCCTGTGGACTAGATCTGGACTGTGGGGCTTACTGTAGGCCAGATGACCCACTTCAGGCAAGTGGCTTGTCTGCACAGCTGCTTGAGCCATTCCATTGGCATGCCTACAAACAAATGTGGCTGTGAGGTATGTGGCACCGCAGACCTGTCTGCAGTACCATATGACACGTTCAGGTGTTTCCTGCACTGCTCCCTTGCAGTGCTGGTGGGATTTTTGACCCTGGGAGATCCTGGGGTCAAAAAAAGTGGGGCGGTGCACATGGCAATAGTGCTTGCTGCTCAAAAATGGAGCCTGGATGGCCAAAGCTATGGTCCATCTGCTGGCCAGACTCCCAGCTGCAGGTGCACTCCAGCTTCCCAGGATCCCAGGTAAAGCTCCTGGGAACAGCATAGTTGCTGGCCCCAGCCTCCCCTACTCCACTCAGGATAACCTTCTGCACATCAAAGCCTGTGTGGCATAAGCATCCCCCAGGGACAAGTAGCAGCAACACAGGTGTGCCACTGCTACTTGTCACTGGGTAACCAAACGTCTGCACTTGTCTGGATGTAGCCCAGGAGGTGAGCACTGTCACTACTTGCCCCTTTCTCCTGGTTGCTGATTTGAATCCACACTGGTGACCAAAGACTTCAAATTCAGTGGTGGGCAAAGAAATGAAGGGGTGAGTAGAGGTGGTGTTCATGTTCTGTATTCTGGAGCTGCACTGACACAGCAGTTCTGGCAGCTGTGCTGACAAACCTTACAGGTTGCTTGTAGCCCTTGAGCCACTAGTTGGACAGCCCTGTTCTACGTAGCAAAGCCCAATGGGGTGACAGAAACATCTCTTTATGCCACTCGGTAAGCAGAAGATGGCACCCTGGAATTAGGACTATTGTGAGACCTGATACAACAACAACCACTCTGAGAGAAAAGCTGATGTTTGTGGCCTGAACTTTTAGTACAGAGGCTTTGGTGGAAGCATAGTTTCCCTTGACACTGGGGAGAACAACCATACTCTTTGTGTTGGAATTCTGATGACCCAGTCAGTAATTCAGTTAAAATGCCTTGTAAATCCAAAGACCAGTAGCAGTTGTACAGTTATTTAAACCAATGCTCTAAAATACTGTAAAAGAATACTAACTATACACTGGATAACAGCATTACAATACTTAGTAATGACTGCACCCTCATAGTAGTTACACATTACAAGCATGTGATCAAAGTACTTACAGCTGGGCTAGAGGGAGATTTTAGCTGGCTAGCTCCAGCAGACCAACTCATAGTAGCAAAGAGCTCTTGTTCTCTGTCTTTCCATATTGTACTCCTAAATTCTCATGATATACCAACTGGAAACTTCATCCATATTTGTCTTGCTGTTTCCACACCCCAATAAAACTTGCTTTGCCCACCTGCTTTAGATTTCCCAGGGATGATGTCCCATGTGCCAGATTGGTACCATTTCTCTCATATTTCCTTATAGATTAGCACATCTGTAGCCCTTTATACTCCTTTCTAAGGACATGAGCATTTTCAGTGTTCCAAGCAATTGCGTGTCTGACTTTTTGTTTCTCAGCTCATGAATTCCTGTATTTTTATGCTTGTATCTTGTAAAACATCCTGCCACCTATTGCATTACAGTTCTTAATTCCTACACCTTTTCCATAATTTCTATCTTCTGAAGTCCTCTTAGATTTGCGTGCATATTAATTACTAGATGTTATTTACATTCCAGTTAAAGCACTGATAGATCAAGAAGTGAAAAATGGAATTCCTTCCAACAGAATAATAGTGGGAGGATTTTCTCAGGTAAGATAATAGTTTGGAAGAAATGTTGGTATATTTTCCAGGGAAATTTAAGTTGCTTCCTTGGCATTAGACAACCTTGATCTTTTAGGTGAAGGAGCTGATGATGCTATCTGCTTCTGAAAACTTTCAGGCCATCAGTTTCTATTTGCCACCAAAAGCTCATAATTTTCTTCATGCACTGAAGATCTACTAAGTGAAAAAATGAGTTTACACACACTATACATATTTTTACTATATATCATTAAAGTAACTGCATCTCATATTTTAACTTCAAAATAGTAATTTTATCTATTTTCCTTAGGGAGGTGCCTTATCTTTGTATACGGCTCTTACAACACATCAAAAATTGGCAGGGGTCTTGGCACTCAGCTGTTGGCTTCCATTACGAACTACTTTTCCGCAGGTATTTGTTCTGCTTATCTAATGTAACTTGACTTGGGTAAGGCCACTTAACATATATTTTAATATGTTTTGTTTTGCCCTTCATGACATTGGTTCCATAGACCAATGCCTCTATGCCCTGTTATCTGGAATCATATGGACCTGGTGAGCAATCTGAGGATTGAGCGGAAGCTTGGTGACAGCAACCATGACTTGGTCAGCTTCTCAGTTCACCAAAGAGCAGGCGAATCCCTCAGTAAAATCAAAATCCTTAACTTCGGGAAGGTTGACTTTTGCAAACTCAGAGATTTGGTAAGTCAGGCAATCAGGGGGCATATCCCCCTAGATAAGGTAGCATATAAGGAATGGTCGTCTCTCGAGAACATAATCCTTGAGGCACAGGGGAAAGCCATTCCATCTCGCATGAAATGTAATCAATGGGCAAGGAAACCCCTTTGGCTGAACAAGGAACAGTTGCACTTCATTAAACTCAAAAGAGAAGCCTACTCCAGTTGGAAAATAAGAAGCATCACCAAACAGGACTACACAGCACTTGCCCGTACCTAGGGAGCGGTCCAGAAAAGCCAAGGCACAAACCAAACTCAGGCTACCTTCAGGGATCAAGGACAACAAAAAGTCTTTCTTCAGATATGTGGGAAGTCGAAAAAAGAATAAAGATAGCATTGGGACCCTGTGGGATCAGACTGGGCAGCTGACGTCTGATGCCCAAGAAAAGGCGAATCTCCTAAATGATTTTTTTGCATCAGTTTTTCACCCTACCAAGGGGATCACACTGTCAGAAAGGACATGGACCAGCCTGGGAGTAGGCATCGGGCCCAAAATTGATGTGGATCAGATGAAGGAACACCTTGAGAATATGGACATTCGCAAGTCTGCAGGCCCTGATGGAATGCACCTGAGAGTCTTGAAGGAGCTGACAGACATCATTGCAACCGCTTTGGCAAAGATATTCGGAAATTCGTGGTGCTTGTGCAAGGTCCTGGAAGACTGGAAAAGGGCCAGCATGGTCCCTATCTTCAAGAAAGGGAAGAGGGATGACCCAGGGAATTATAGACCAATCGCTTGGATGTCCATCCATGGAAAAATTGTAGAGAAAATTGTCAAGGGATCCATCAACACCAGACTAACAGAAGGCAAGCTTCTGAAGGCCAGCCAACAGCTTTGTGACTGGCAGGTCTTGCCTGATCAACCTCATTTCCTTCTATAACCAGGTGACATGAGCCCTGGATGGTCATATATCTGGATTTCAAGAAAGCCTTTGACCTAGTTCCCCATGATGTCCTTCCTTATGGCTAAGATGGGGAACTGTGACCTTGGTCATTTTATAGTCCAATGGCTAGGTATTTCTCTAAAGTGTTGAACATCCAGTTACTCCTCATTAGTGTGAGTGCATCACAAACTTTAATTCATCTTCTTTATTCTGATATGTGATGAAGTAGTATAACAACATTATGGTTGGGGCACATTAAATCCAGAGTTTGCCAGATTGTACATTAATTTAGGTGCTTCAATTGAAGGTCCAACATGAAACACACATGCAGCCTGTTGTTTAGAGTACTTAACATTAGTTTATAAAGTTTTGTGATAAAAGCTTTGTACCATGTTTTGACACTAATCCTCACAAACCCCTATGAAAGAAAGATAAATATCTCCTCTGTTTATGCCTAATGACTCTCAATAGTGCTCATTTCTCAAGATCATATTACCTTGTTGCAACAAGCATCAGTTGCCATTAACTTCAGTGGCAATAAATGCTCAGAAATCCTGAAAATTTACCTTTGGGTGTATTAAGATGGATACTGGAGGAAAACAAGGAATTAATCATTAGTAGCTAGATACCTGAAAAATGTTTGTGACATTGCCAGTAACATCCTAAAACAAGTCTTAAAGATAATCCTGTGGTAAAACAGTTCTTTCCCAAAAAGTCCTAGCTTTATTTTTTTACTTTTCTTCTAGTTGAGTTATATAAAATGTTAAAATGTTTACGTGTATAGAAATTACACTTTACAAAGAATTATGTAATAAAATATTTTAAAACTAGCATTTTAAATACTTTAGGGTTTTTTTTAAATACATCTATTACTTTTTTTTAATTTAATAAAAAATATTCCTTATCCCGTATTCCCTTCCATCCCTATCCACTCCCATTCCAACCCATCTGCCTTACACCCAGGGGAGTCCCCAAAATCCAGTCATCCATATATATATGAAAGCACTAAATATAGCCCAGTCTCTGTCTGTGCTGCAAAACCCACCCTTTGTAATGTTGTGCTTTTTTTTCTTTTTGCCAGGGCACTATCAGTGGTGTCAACAAAGAGATTCCTGTTCTTCAATGCCATGGGGACTGTGACCCTCTGGTCCCTCTACTGATTGGTTCTCTCACTGTTGAGAAGCTAAAAAGTATGATAAATCCAGCCAATTTAACCTTCAAGACTTACTCAGGCATGATGCATAGTTCATGCATTGAGGTAACGTTCTAAATTAAAACAGATTTTTTTTTAGAGAAACCTCTTTAAACTTTTTTTTAAAGCAGAACAGGTCAACCTCAGTGCTCTTGTTCAAATGGAACTATTGCTTTATGTGACTGTTTATAACATGGTGCTTAATACTTCATTTAATTGTCCCTTGGGCCAAACAAATGTTGAGGCCAGGCCTGGCTACTTGCTAACATGATATGCCTTCTACAATCATACTTGTGGCACTAGCTAGTCATAATTTTTCAGTCCTCCATTTTAATAGGAGACATGAGAGGTACCAAAGATGAAATTAATTTTTCTTTCATGTCAGGTTTTGGAATCATTACTGGCCTTTTTTATTTCCATATTCTCTTCTGTATAGCTCAGCAGTTGTTCCTTCCTGCATAAATGCAGGATACTTGTTTACATTGTTTTCATGAGCTAATGTAGTCCAGAATTCTGACAGAGTAACACAACAACTAGCTATTCTGGAGAAAGAACTTGCTTTGTGAATAAAAGAGGAAAAGAAGGAGTTTAGGGTAGTAACTACACGGGCTTTAACTAAAAATAAATTAGAGGGAAACCTTTGTAGCAAGCTGGTTCAGGCCTTTGCTAATTTATTTTCACTCAGACAGTGAAAGTTTTGGTTGTGCCACATTGTGTCAAGGTGCCATGTCTTTCAGCGGGAGAGGCTTATTCAGGCAGATATCCATATGTCCAGGACCACATTTACAGCAAGTGTCCTGCTTTCCGCAGATCAATGAATTGCACGTCATCAACTATAGTAGTACTTAAGGATGTAGAATTTCATTTATTCCCATTGTATCTTTGTTAGCATGAATTAATAAGGTTCTTCAGGTTACTTAACTGCCACAGTGGTGATGTCTACTTTCCTTGTAACACTTTTTTTCTGAAGATGATTTTTTGTTTCAGAATCCCCTTAGTAAAGCACATGGGACACTAATTCAAAGAGTGAATTTCAAACTTCAAAGAGTTTGATTGATTCAGCTAAGACCTGTTTTGATTACAGTTGGTTGAAGTTCTAGACTGATAAAAAAACAATATGTCATAGTAACTGAAGTGATGAAATCCTAAGGATTTAATGAGAGGTAACTGCTGCAAATGCCATAATTGAACACTGAACTCTTCTCTAACATGTACTTTTATCCTTGAACAGGAGATGAAGGATGTAAAGCAGTTCATAGACAAACACCTACCTCCAGTTGATTGACATGATTTAAGAGGCCTTCTGTATAATACACCAGCATCAGCTGTGGTTGTGTTTAATATTTTTCATGTGCCCAATTTGAAAGCATTATTTCTATACCTGCTGTGTTACTACCGTATTGCAAATGTGTGCCTACAAGAACTAAATAGTATATGCTTACAAGAAATGGCAATCTTTCAAGTTTTAATCATTCATTGGTGGGACTACAGAAAATAAGGCAGCTAGGTAACATGTTAGGAAGTACCTGACTATGCTATTTTAAGACGGAGCTGCTTTTTGATTGTACAATTTTTAAAGTATTTATATGGCTACTTAAAAACCCATTCTGGTTAAATGAGCAATTTATACCTGGCCTGTTTCTTATATTTGGGACATGGTTTATTCCTGATTCTTACTGAATTAGTAAGAAATTCTGATACATGAAAATATATTTGGATATTCTGTTTATGTATCTGATGCACAAAATATGCAACATGTAAAACACAGTAGGGGTATGATGGGGGAATAAATATTACTGAGTATAAAGCTTTAGATGTTAATGTTTTAAACATTTACTGCATGTGAAAAGTTATCCTCTTATATACAAATAAATATGAATTAGTAACTTCAAGTATTATGTTCTGTATTTAAACCGTAAGAACATAAGTGCCATATTGGGTCAGACAGATGGTCCATTTAGCACTGTATCCTCTGAGAGTGGCAGGAGTAGATGCTCTAATCCAACCTAGGTTTTATTCTTAAAAATAATATCTGATCACAGAATAGGAAAAAATTCACATCCATCTGCAAGTTATCATTATGGGGAAAGTAAGGGGGCTCAGTGATTCTTTGCCAGACACACATTTACTACTGTCATTATTTGGGGCTGGCTGAGGTTTATTTTTGTACGTTGACCTTGAAAACTGACACACAACAAAAATATGTTTTCGCATTACGTATTTCTCCCACACTTCAGGCCTCGTGGTTCTGTTTTTTGTAATTTACCAAATTTATGTTTAAGTGATACTGTATTTTTGTATTAGTAATTGCAAGTAATTCTAAACTTTGGCGTAGAATAGTGAACTGGGAAACAATGCATTTGCATACACTGTGTGTATTTTTAATCGAATCATCTGTGACATTGGCATTAATTAATTTTACCTTCTAAGTGATATAGTATGGAATTGGAATAATTTAGATTATACAGTGAGAAACTGGCAACTCTTTCCTGAATTGTATGTGCACATGGGTCTTCAGCCTTCATTTCTAAAGAAAATGCATGACTTGACACATTGAATACCATTCTCCAGTCCCCTAGAATATTCCTAGAATATATAAAAGCATGCCTTAATATATACCTCTGGTGTGAAAGGTATTTTTTATCTCATGGAAATTTAACATTTTCAGAATTGTGGAACTGCTGATGTAAGTTCAGCACTAGATTAACGGGATACCATTTCAAAACATTTGATCAGAAACTAGATGAGAGACTGGTTGGGCCATTTAGTCCATTTTCCTACTGTTGCCAGGTTCCGTCTTATTTTACTTTATGAAAATTATTCAGTCAAGTTCTAAGGCTTTGTCTGTACTAGGAGCACTGTATAAGAATACTAGTATGTTGTACCTGCAAAACACCTATGTGCTATACCAGTGATGCTGTGCTTTGTACCTGTAGAGCAGAGCCCTTTTCAAATTAAACAAACTATGCTTGCTCTCTGATATAATGTCTATGTTAAGGAACATCGGCCATAGTTGTCACTCAGGAGCACACCTTTGCACCTCCAGCTTGACATAGTTATGCCAGCAGAATTCTGTAGTGTAGATTTATCTTAGTATCTACAGTTAAAATATTTTCTCATATCCAATACATCTCATTTTTAGCAAGCTGTTTCTCTTTCTTATTAATATATCAATGTCCCAAGCTATATAGGGCAGTTTTCTAACTGAAGTGGCACACTTCAGATATTTAGTCTTTATGTCCCCTCTGCAGCCAGTCTGTACATATCTTGATATGAAATCAGAAATAATTCCTTTGATCCTAGTTACTTCCTTGGCAAAAAACAAGCTGAAAAGTCTTATTTATGTCCAGAAGGAAGTACAGTATTCTAATTATAGTCTCACCAAAGCTGTATTGAGAAAGTGTTGCTTTCTAGTTCAGAGTGCAAATTCTGAAATTACACTGGCTCCTTTTGCCATCATCTCACACTGCATACTTGCTTACCAGTACGATCTCTACTTCTTTCTTAATCTTTTTTCCATTCATGTCTGAAATACATCCCCAGGAGTGTTTATGCATGTTTCTAATCTGTAGGTCCTTCCTGTACTCCTTTCTGCACTGTTTTCAGTTTAGTGTCTTAATATCATTAATATACTATAATTTTTCTCCTCCAAATGAGCAAACATTTTAAAGTGAGACTGTTCCTCCCTCTCTTAATCACATTTTTCCAACATTGATACGCTGCAGTTCTATTACTCTTGTTCAAGCTGGCATATGTCCTGGGTTGCCTATTTCTAGTAACCAAGTGTTTTTGTCTTGATTGTTGTACTAAAATGTATTAAATTTATTGCATGTATTTTGTGTTCTGATTTTATCTAAATATATAGTCAAATGTAACAAGATTTATCTGTATACTGTGCTGTTTTTGCTGCTGCTTGTTAATGCTTCTTTTAGCTGTAGTGACTAAAGCAGATGCAAGTAAATGTAAACTGCTGCACTTTGCACAACTCTGGTCCTCTGCTCCTGAAGAAGGAATCTTTTTCCAGTTCTTTGCTAGGAAGAACTGGAAGTTGCAGCTAAGAATCAGCAGCAGTGCTGATTTATTGCAGGTTTCCTATATCTTTCCTAGTTAACTCAGCATGTATCTTGAGCTTTGGCTCTTTATAGGTGCCAGGGTTGGAGTGGGACTGAGGATGCTTTGGCCGCCACAGCTGCCTCCATTGACTGACATACTTTGCTATGGGACCTCTACTGGAGATGGCATATACCCTGGGTTGAAAATGAGCCTGGGCTGCCAATTCTCAATATTTTAGACCTATAGGGTTGTAGATGTCAAAATCATTAATTTGTCACTTGGAAAATTAGTAATAACAGTTTCTAGAAT